CAATTATATTAAATTAGTTAGTTAAAGAAGTATCCCCGTACCCGTACCCGTGTCCAAATCCGTACCCACGTATCCTAATTTTATAAAATTTACGAGTCCGACTAGATCCCGTGTCATACCCGACACTCATACCCGAGTCCGGGTAACATAGCTTTTGACAGAACAATACGTAAAAATTTCAAATGTTATTTGCAAAATATGCACCCGTAACTCCTCTCCTACATTTTCAGAGAAGTAGAGAGCAAACTGATAACTCTTTATCCTCTACTTGAGCTTTTATTCCGTTGATTATTGTTCTGGTGAAATAATCTGCCACTTCTCCTTTTTCAGTGTTGGATTGCAGCTTCAATCTTGAAAGTAAAACTTGTTAAGGGAGAGACTCTTAGGCTCTCAAGGAAGTCTTTGAATTTTGAGTGCACAGAGGAAGAGGCATACTCTGTCTATAAGAAGCTACGGGAATTGAAGTCGTCATATTTGCAGCTTCATCCTTTGCCAAATGTTGTAACGACATTGGAAGGTTGTGGAAAGCAACCACCACTTGCAGGAAGACCACCCTCAGGATCTTTTGACCCGGAAAATGTGAAAATTAAGATTGAAAGGTCATCTAGTCTGCAGCACCTAGCAGAACAAACTGTGGAGGAGGAAGAAGGGGTTTTTGTGGATAAAAGGATCAAAAGGGTACAGAAGAAGTATGATGAGCATGTATACCAATTGCGTCAACAACATGAGAGGGAAATTTTGGAGTTCCGCAACAAGAAGGAACAAGAGAAGCAACAGTGGGAGACTGACCTGGAGCTTGAATTAGCTGTGATTCGCTCAACCTATCCTGAAAGTGCAATGAGGGCTGACATGCTGAAGTCATTGGAACATGGGTTAAAGAAGAAAATACAAGAGCAGGAAATCTCAATGGAGGCAGCTCTTAAAGAGCTTCGGGCAAGGCATTCATCTGAATTGGAGCAGTTGAGGAAATTGTTTGATGATCACATGACTAAGATAATGTCCTGTATCACTGCCACTGGTCCTGAAAAGGAAGTACCTAGTGCTAGCTTTGATACCATTCTTGATAGAATGGTAACAGATGATGCAGTTGGTGGTGTGGTTTGTTCTGAAACTTCTTTGTGTACTCCTGCAAATCCAGTTGCGGATGAGGTTTTGGATACTGACCAAGCAATGGACGTATCCATTGCAGTTGAGCAGCCGGAAGAAACAGATCAATCTCACAAGATCCATACTGATGCTTATCAGGACTGTAATCGTCCCCCTGAAACTTCACCTCGGGATATGACTCCAAATGATTTAGCTTCCTCCAAGGAGCGGGAATCTTGTGAAATTTCTTCAAGTAACCAAAATTATGAGATTCCTCCAGGGGTCCCTGGAACTGGGGGATCTGAGTTGGATAATGCCCCCTCTTTAGAAATGATTACTTTTCTTGAAGTGGAAAGAGGAGATGACGAAGGAAATTTAATAGGTTCTGGTTCCCAGGGTAAGCAGAAAGATCAAACTCAAAGCTCCACTAATCAGGCTGTGTCGTCTCCATTGCTTCCAGCAGCAGATATAATCTCTTCACCGATAATTCTTTTTCCAGAATTGCCAGGGGAACATGTGAGTACCTCTTTCATTTTTTTTTTTTTCTGCTTCATCTTTTGAATAAATTTCTCTGAAACGACAACTGAAGCTGAGCCTTTATCTTGCTATGTGGGGTCGGTTATATGGATCATCTATCAATATACATATTGTCATTTAGATTTTCAGATGAACCATGTCCTCAAGTCTTTCTTGAATAATGTTTGCTGTGGTAGGTATGTGAAAATAATGGGCAGCCGCCTTCTGATTGCCCTTCTCCTGATTCAAATCACCCTACAACTGAACCCGTTCAACAAGGACAAATTGAAGGGAACGACTCTTTACATACCTCTGGAGCTTCTCTTCAAATGGTTGAGAGTTCTGTGGAGCTTCTGGACCGAGCCATTTCTCAGAATGGAGAAACTGTAGGTCCACCTCCTTCAATTGAAGTTATGGATGTCAACCATCTTGTTAGCAGTCAAATTGAAGGAAGCAAAGCCTTACCAACCGATGGAGGTTCTGTTCAAGTGGTTGAGGGGTCCGTGGAGCATTCACATCAAGAAGCTGGTCCTTTGAATGGAGAAACCGATGTACTATCTCCAATTGAAGTTGGTGCGAACCTTGGCGATAATCACTGTGTTGTGGAGGTTGTTAATGAATCTGACAGGAGACCCAACGCTGAACTCGCTGCAGTATCTGGAAATACTCTAGATCCAATCCAACAGGCTGAAACCTTGGTTGGACCCCCAATCCAACAGGCAGAAAATATAGTTGGACCCTTGAACCCAACTGATTGTAGAACCAACGATGAACTCCCTATGGCATCTGGAAATACTGTGGCCCCAATTCAACAGGCTGATAACATTCGTAGACCCTCAAACCAAGCTCCATTACTTGTAGAACGTAACTTAGAAACTGCTGAAGGAGCTACTCGCCTTCCTGTGCATCAAATGCACCTTAACAACTCTAGGAATCCAGCTTTTCCTTTGCCTGTTGAACCCCTTCAAATTGAATTAGAAACATTACGTAAAGACATGGACCAAGCTACTAAACATTTTGATAGCACTGTAAGTTTCAGGGACTCTCTCTCTCTTTCACACACATACACACAGAAACCCCCCACACACACACACAACTGTCGTATTTCAAATGAAAATTTTAATTCCTACTGATTTTTTTCTGCTTCAAACAGAAATTGCTGTTAAAATGTCAATGTGAGAAGGAAATCGAAGAAACAGTTACCCAAATTCGTCAGAAGTACGAGGCTAAAATCAAGGAAGCCGAGTCTGCCTTTCTGCTGAAGAAGACCCAACTGGATTCAAACTCCAAGATGGTTTTCATGAACAAGATTCTAGCAGAAGCTTTTCAATCTAAATGCTTGGACATGAGGAGTTCTGCAAATCCTGCAATGAAGCAAGGTAGGTAATTCAGTTTGGCATGTGCCTTCATGAACTGAGAAATTTATTTTCTTTTGTGCTTTTATGATGCATTTTGGGTTTGGGTTTTATATCAAGTAGTGGACTTGAGCATGCTGATATGTTGGAACTCTTTGTTCCGTAAGAAATGGGCATGTATGTTTGGTCGTGGTCACTCTATATTCAGTTTAATGGACAAGTCGCATTGCTTGATCCTTTTCAACATTTAATGATCTTTAAAACTGGTGATGTTGATATGGTTCATTTCGGCTGATTGGTGATCACTCAGCGCAAATGATAATCCACTAGATTTAATTTTTTCCTTGGATATTCATAGATAATTTGAACTATTGAAGTATGATTGTCATGACTCATGAGGTCATGTTTGATGGAAGTTTGTGCCCTTTTCGCCGTTGTAGTCGATGCAATGAGCTGACTTGTATACTTTACACGAAAAATGACAGACATTATATGGGGCTTATGTGTGTTCAATTCGTGGACAAACCAGACATGTATAAATTGTTCTTGTAAGTGGGGGCAATATCTTCTCCTGTTGGTTCTTGTAAAAACTGAAAATGGGCAAGCTGATTATTTGGATTTCTGAATTTTTAATTTTGGGTATCTGGGAGATTCCATGTTATGCTTTCAACTTGGAATTTTAAGGGTTTTTTCCCCTCTTAGTTACAAGTCTGTCGATTCAATGCATATTTTAGTTTGTAATGTGACTTGGTTGCATTTTTATCTCCCAACCAAATACGTGCAAGCTTGTTTACTGCATTTCTGCCAGTACTATCTCTAGATTGCTCCCTGACCTTTTTCTCTTCTTTTCCCCTTTGGCGGGGCTCCATTGCTGCAGCTGCTCCTCCTAGTTTCACCCAGCACATGCATCAGTTAAGCTTGCAACCCAGATTGAGAAATCTCTCTGTTCATGCCTTGTCTTCAGCAGGCCAATCTGTTTCCAGCCATCAAACTGCCAGTTCACCTATGGAAACTCTGCATCGTCCTTTGGGGCCCTTTGCAAGCGGCCCTTCTAGACCCCCCCAAATTGGTGCTATCACACCTTCGATCGGTAGTCTTCGAGGTGGTGGAGAGCGTGCCCCAGCTCCACATCTTCAACGTTTCAGACCACCTGCAATCACGTCTGCAGTGAGTACATCATTCTCACCGTCTAACATTCCCGCTCAACAGGTCCTAGCTAATCTTCCTGCAACATCTCTTTCATCTCCCTCTGTGCTGGCTCAGCAACCATTACCATCACTACCTTCGCTCTTACTAAAACAAAACCCCCCATCCCAAACTACATCTGTGCCCGCACATAGAAGGATAAATCAAGATGTTTCAAGTAATCAGCCTTCTGAAACTCGGAATGTAGTAGAACATGGTCGTCTTAATCTCATTTCCGCGATGGACTTGCTACTGGATGTTCAAGATCAAGCTGGTGGCCAGCGGCCCAATACTTTACAGCATTTAGCCAGTTCTTGTTTGAACAGAAATGTAGTAGATGAATCAATCACCAGAGTATCTGGCAATGCAAATGAATGCACAATTCCAGCTACATCTTCCAATGTTGTTTGCTTGTCTGATGATGACAGCTAACTGGCTGAACTGCGGGAGAATATGTTTGACTTGCCGTGAAAATGTTACTTACTATATAGATAAAATGGAAGTTGCTGCACATATCTCTTGATCGGCTTCAGTGTCATTCCTGTTTGGGGAGGTTTTGAGTGCTCTAGTAAGAAGTGGGTACTACGTTTTCTATCAAGAAATGGATTCCTAGTTCAATTGACTTCCATCTTGTTGATATTCATAGACCAGAAGACCTGCTAAAATTCCAAAGGAAGTTGACTTTAACCCATGACGTAGTCTAGGTGCGATTTTGAAATAAATAAACCTTGTGTATAGGATATATTGAGACTCTTTATCAGCAATCCATTCATTTTCACTAGACTTCCGTGCCTTCATCATGATTGGTGGTGCCAAATTTTGTACCTATCTGCAGCTCTTTTTTTCTTCTTTTTTGGACGCAGGTAATCGATGCAAATCTCTTCTGGTGGATACTTCAGAATAGCTTGCACGCATTAAATTAAGTTTCAAATAAGGTAAGGTATCTGGATTCTGGAGTTCTCTCTCTCTTTTCTTTTAAGTTCCAATTGCACCTTGGTAGTTGTCGAAGGAAGTGATTATGATAAGTTCCAGTGGAGAAAGAATAAATGCTGATGATTACTTCCTTTTTAGGTTGAGTTATAGTTATAAATTTGAATCTGGTTTGTGTTACATTTGACGGTTTTGGCCCCTTATGCTGCATCTGTTTATTCCGTAAAGATTGTTGCTAGGTTATGTACACAAATTTGTCAATCCTCTTTGTCAGTGTCGATTAGCTGTCGTTACAGTTCACGCCGCTACACTAAATCATCCTTTCTTCCCTGAACTTGGGACCTTCTTATGTTAAGCATGTTTGTTTTGGGTGCAGATTAGTATATATCTGCAATATGTATAGCATAGGGTTTAATAATGGATACTGCCACCAATTTCTCTGCTTTTTTTTTTTTTTGGTAACAGTTGATAATGATTGGATATTTCGTGCATCTTTTCGATGATTGGATTTTTTGAGCATGCAAGGTTTTCTGGAATGATGTTTGTTTTAGTCTTCTAGATACCGGAGTCTTAGCAATTGATAAAAAGATTGAAAGACCTTAGGGTTCGAAAGCGCATGACATGGTTGAGTGGAGATCTTTAGTTTGTGTATACTTAAAAACCTCATGATTTATCTATCCCCGAATCGCTGGCATTCTTATTTTCAAATTAATCTCTTTAGGTGTTTTTTATTGAAAATGTAAAAAAAATTAGGAAACGTTAAAAAGTATGCTTAGATAGAATAATTATTATTTAATTATTCGGAATTATCATAAAAGAAAAAAAAAAAAAAAGCGCAAACAGTTTTAGAGATTATCCCATTTGGCTGATGAGAAATCCAACAAACAATAGTTTTCTGTACATCAATAAGTCAATAACAGCAGAGAAGGTACTGGTGAACTGAAAACAAATTTAATGCTGTACTGAAACAAACTGTTTCCTTGCAAGATCTTCAAACCAACTCTGTCTTCTACCTTAAGAGATGAAAATACGCATTTAATTTTTGGGTAATAAAGCTCAATGTAAAGGTAATGGAACACCATCCCACCCTTTGATACATTCCAGCAATGGATCTATCAATCTACCCTTGCAAATTGCCGCGAAAACCTTGTCAAATTCCTCTCCTGGGGACTTTACTTTCTCCCCTGTCAACATTGTAGTCCCCAGAACTTCCCTGACAAACTTGTACAATGGATAAGACCTGCACTCCTTGATCTTGTTTGGAATCACAGGATTCCCACTTTCGAACGCACTCCTTGCACTTTCGATTTCTTTAGGTAAAAGGGTTTTCAGTTCATCTTCAAAAGTTACAATCTTGAGGAAAATTGAACTTTTGATATTCAAGTCATCATTATTGATCAGGGCATGATCAACAAGAACTTGCCTGAGCTTCTGCATAAGGGGATAAGAAGCGCTGCAGGGATCATCGATGTATGTGAACACATGTTCCCTGTCAACAACTTTCAGTAAATCCTTCTCGCAGAATCTGGAAGGATGGAGCTCCCCATTGAGGCCCATTGTAAGAACTTTCTTTGCCACTTGATTCACTGTGTTCTTCACTGCATTCTTCAAGTTTTCCTCCAAATGCCTCAGGTCAATTGCCTGGCACAATGCAACTAAGTATGTTGAAGACATGAGCTTCAATATATCTACTGCCTCTGCTGTTTTTCTCGAAGATATCAATCCCAAGGAGTTGACATCTTGGTTGTGTTGCTCTGCGCTCTGGACATGATTAGTGACAGGGTTGGCAAGAAATTGAAGCTCAGAACAATAGGACGCCATTGCGATTTCAGCTCCTTTAAAACCATAATCCAAGCTTGGATTTCTTCCCCCTGATAAATTTGAAGGCAACCCATTGTTGTAGAAGTCATTGACAAGCTCCGAGAATTGAGCAAACATGAGCTTCCCGATTGCTGCAAGTGCTAGTCTAGTGTTGTCCATTGATACTCCAATCGGGGTCCCCTGGAAATTCCCTCCGTGTAAGGCCTTGCTCCTGGACACATCAATCAAAGGGTTATCATTAACTGAATTGATCTCGCGCTCAATTGATTTAGTTGAGGATCTGATCACTTCAATTTGAGGTCCAAGCCACTGTGGTGAAGTTCGAAGCGCATATCTATCCTGTTTTGGCTTCATGAGTGGATCCATTTCATGTAGTGCTTTTGCTGCCTTGACATATGCACTTCCATCTAAAATGTGTTCCATTATAGCTGCAGCTTCAATCTGACCAGGATGATGCTTCAATTTATGCGTCAAATGGTCGGTAAACTCTGGTTTACCTTGCATAACTTCAGCGAATACAGCTGACAAGACCTCAGATAACACTGCAAGTATATTTGCCTCGAACAGAACAATAGAGGCCAATCCAGACCCTACAGCTGTTCCGTTAACAAGTGCAAGACCTTCCTTAGGCTGCAGCTCAAAGAAGCCGCCTTTGATCCCGGCAAGTTCAAAAGCTTCCCCTGCATTGAGTGACTGACCACTAGGCCCTACGCTCCTGGAATTCGGCCTGCCAGTTAATAAAGCCGCAATGTATGACAATGGGACGAGATCGCCCGAGGCAGTGATCGTGCCTCGGAGAGGCAAGCATGGAGTAATATTGTGATTAAGGAGCTTTGTAAGAGCTTCTAATATCTCAAATCTAATCCCTGAGTAACCTTGCAGGAGGGTGTTAACTCTTACAAGCATTGCAGCCCTTGTTGCAGCATGAGGTAGTGTATGGCAAGACTCCGTCCCGTTTCCGAATATTCCAGCATTCAAGAATCTGATGCAACAAAAAAGTTTGGGACAATAATGATGCATTAGATACTCAATTTAATGCCCACTAAGTTCGAAATTCAGTCAGTAATGAACTCATCTACCATTTTCAAGCAACTAGTTATATGATTTGCACCTACAAATTCTGCATTGACATTAAATTCTTTGGTTGCAGCATGTGATCTTAAAAAATGTTATGGTGGTCACTGTCCTGACAATAAGATTTATCCATTCTGGTCTAAAACAGCTTTTCAAAGAGATATCACATCTTCTTCAATGAAAGAAGCAAGGACAGAATTTGCTTTTGACTGACAAGTAGTCTTTAATGGCACCGAAATTTGGCAGTTCATTCAATGGCTGAAAGTTTTAGATAATTCAGAGTCCCACAATTACAGCGATGGTTCTACATTTATTTTTACCATCCCAAACCTTTTCCGTTCCGAAATCATTGGTCAATTTGAATTTTTTACTTTTAGTAAAAAAAAAAAAAATCATATGCAGTTAACATTACAAATGAAAGTATGTTTTGTTGACCAAATACTCTGTAATTTACTGAAATATGACTCTAATTATAAGACGGAAGAATATTCAGACAGAGATGGTCATGGCAATCGGTGACAAAATCATTTTGTAGGGCATTTACGTATTTAACCAGTATTTTGAAAGCAACGGAATAAGACACGGCTGCCGACTCCATTTCACCATATTTATGGGCCACCTATGCTCGTATGTGCTCTTTATTCCTACTATTATACTCGGTTAATTAAGTTTTCTTTTAATCATCCAAAGTTTATAGTGAATTAAGCACGTAAATGATTTCAAATACTATTTTTATAAGAAAAGAATTGTGTCTAATGCTCAAAAATGAAATTTCAAATTACTACATTCAAAGGAAAAAAACATTTGTTAATCGTAAAATAACAATCTTCTTCTACCATAACTAAGCTAGCACGTCTCACATGGATGAAATTTAGTTATGATTTCTCTTTTTTTTTAACTCAAAATTTTTAAGAAAAAAATATGAAAATTGAATCTAAACGTGCTTTGTATTTTAACATTTCTTTTTTTCATACCTGGATATAGAGACCTTAATTAATCAGGCAGAAATACTTCCTCAAATTCAGAATAATTGTTCAATTTAACATAAATTATATTAAAAGTAAAAATAGGACACAAATTAATCTTTATTTGAACCGGGTAAATTTTTTTTCAGCTGTGAAACATTTTTCATCCAACAAGATACGTCACTCTTTAATGAAATTGCCATAATACGCAAGAATTTCATCTAACCTCAAGGTTTTCACCTACCCCTTAGTAATACCCACCGACTCGACTCTACTACTCCGAGCCCATCATCCAAAGAAGAACAAACATCGGATTTTTCTATTGTCTTCCACACAAGAATATACTACTAGCCATGCAAAATTTTCCAGCAAACCCAGTCTCTTCATTTTTCTTTTAAAAAAATAATCTATTTTATTTTATAATGTTTAATTCAACAAAAATGAAATTCTTTTGGTCCATTTTTAATTTAACAAGCACACGTTTTTGTTTTATTTGAAAGTGAAAGTAGTACTCGCTCCGTCTCATAAAAATAATTTACATTAAATTTTGCATTTTGTGTTGTTTTTAGTATAAATTTAAAAACTCGATGTGGACTATTTTTTTTTGGACGTAGATAGTAATAAATAGGCTATGCCAGCATTCATATGAATTTTTACATTATCTTACATGCATTAAAAAAAAATGGACATGTTTGGACTCAAAAAAACAGAGACATCAATAAATTCTCGTTTTTCTTCCTCTTATTAGGAAAAAAAAAAAACAAAAATGCTTTCCTTAGTGCGATCCGCTCATATGTGAAGTCAAACATTTAAAATTTGTCAGACTCGAAATTCCTCATCAAAAAAGACACAAACAAGAAAACACCCCAAGCATATTTTATTTTACCTACCCCCATTTCATGTGAAATTGTGAATATCAATATATACCATATTATTATTTATTAAAAAAAATTACCTTCATTATTATTATTATTATTATTATTATTATTATAATTTCCTCCGTGTTAAAATTATTATCCGTTAAATTTGAATTTTCATTTTTAATACGAACAGCGAGAGAGAATAATATTTTTCTTTTATAGATAATAAAAAAGAGAGAGTATAATTACCGAATAAGCTCGGCCTGCAGAGCAGTTCCCTGTTTTGTCCTTCTATGAGAAGTGGCGCCAAAACCGGTGGTGACCCCATAACTGTCCGTTCCTTTGTTCATACTCTCCATCACCCACTCCGAGCTCGCTTTCACCCCCGCCCTCGCCGCCTCACTCAGCTCCACCGCCGTTCCGCCGTCGGACGCCGCCACGGCCGCCACCTGCGCGACCGTCAGCGTCTCGCCGCCCAGCTTCACCGCCGGCTTCCGGTACTCACTCACCATCCTCTTCACCTCATCCAAATGGCTCCCCTTCACCGACTCCGCCGCCGCGTTCCAGTTCAACGGATCGTCGTCGTTTTGGTAGCGGTGCTGCGTACTAGTACAGAATCCATTCCCATTCCCATTCCCATATCCATTTTCATGTACGGTCATTTTCTCCATCGTTTCGTTAATTCCAAAAACAAAGGGAAAATGGAAATGGGAATTTGGATTTTAAATTTTGGGGGAGACAAAAGAAATTAAAAACAAGGAAGGAAGGAAGGGAGGAGGAGGTGTTAGTTCACCAGTAAAATTGGGTGCGATTTGCTATAAATAAAGGGTGCGACTCAAAGAGTGTTTGTTGGGTGGGAAAAATAAAAAAATAAAAAAAGCAGCTCTTTTTTTTGGGTTAGTTAGCTCAGCTTTTATCTCCTTCGTTGGATTTTTTCATCAAGATCCCACGGCTCTGGAGTGTGACACGTCCCCTGCCGGATCCACTGTGGAAAATTTGCTGCCGGTGTGACGTGTGTGTGTGTGTGTGAGAAATATGAATCGGTGGTGGTTGGTTTTTGTGGTTGAGAAACAATGGAACCGACATACGAATCACATTAGATACTAGTACTACTATCAATTAGAATAAATTCAAAGCATTTTTTTATACTAATTAGTAGATATAGAAAAAAAAGAAAATCGCATGTTTTACTAACTCACGTAAATACGTGGAAATGACATTGATCTCTCTCTTCGTAGGATATATATTTACCTGTGAAAATTAATACTACAACACAATGTCATTTTGACATTCTTCATTATATACGCCACTTGCTTGTACTAGCTAGCTAGTTCTAGGATGATCAATTTCTTAGTTTTAAGAACTAACCCTAGATTTCTAATAAGAATCTTTTCTCATCTCTTCTTACAATAAACTTGCTTCTTCTTCTACTTCTTTTCCTTTTTTTTTTTCTTCTTTTTTTCACATTTACATAATCTCCTGCTTCTCTTCCCTAGGGAATGGCCGTTTTCACAATAAACTTGTTTCACCAGTGAAATAAAGTTAGTTTATTATTATGTATTCCATCCGGTCCTTAATATATATTATTTTGATTTATCTTAAGTTTCACTTAGTAACTGTTTTTAATTGACGAAAAAATCTTAAAAATATATTTTCACATTCGTTGTGTTCTCTTGATTGTTATGAAATATTTTAAAGATTTTTTTGTCAGTTAAAAATAAGTATTAGGTGAAACTTATGACAAATCAAAATACTTTATATTAGCTCGTGAACTTCTCGATTCTAGGAGATTTCGTCAATACAATCTCGGCAGCCCTAGAAGATGACATAAACCTCAATCATCTGGATCCGGTGATGAAAGACATACATCGTTTGATTCATCTAACTCATTCGTTAGGGATTTTTTGGATTAGACGACCAGAAAATGCAACAGCTCATGAATTTGCATCTATGCCTAAGAATAGTAATACTGAATGTTCTGTTTGGTCGCATATTTCTGCGATTTTTTATCAAACGCAGCTGGACGATTTCCAGCAAAAGTGAAATGAATGAAAGTTTTTTTTTAAAAAAAAAAATCTTATATTAAGGACCACAGTAGAGTATTTGATAGCTATATCAGAAGTTGAAAATGTTGCATAAATCTTAGTTTTAACTTTTAGAACAACAAGTTTGATCTTATTCCATCTCTTTCACTCACAAGGGGGAAGCTTACCTACCTACCCTCTAGTTGTCCAACCAGAAATTTACCGATTAAAGTAGCTTTCGTGGTAAAACGGTTTTGTATTTGACTACGTACAGCCTTTCAATTGCATTCATTTGATACAAATATCTCCTCTGGTATTCTTTTTCGTTTACTCTACTCGCCCTCTACGAAATGGAAAGAGATGACTAATTAAATACATTGGTTTTAGAGATGAATGCTAAAGAATTCGTTGAATGCCGGATTGAGAAATTATAATATACAAACATAAAACTAAAATTCACTATATATTGTATTTTCTAAAATAATCCAACTATATATTTGTGTATGTAGTTAAATCCAACGGAATGAATTTTATAATTTACAATAACGTACGGCAACAGAGATTTAAATTGAGATTGAGTTTCCTTTGGCGGCTCAATGTTTCCTTTCTCAGTTGTGGAGGTGGATGAGAAGGTGGAGGCGGACGCAGAGGAAAGGGAAAGAGATGCCATGAGAACAGGAAGCGTTAGAGGAAGAGGAAGGGCAGAGGCAGGCCGGCAGAGGCGACGACGAAGGAACGAACAAAGTTACTGTAGTATTTAGGTTTCTCGCTTTATAATAATACTAGTGATGTCTGGTCGCGCAATGCGCGACCCTGGCCCCAATATATCTGTAGATCTTAGAAATATTTGTATCTGAAAAATTACGCGACCCTGGCCCAATATATCTGTAGATCTTAGAAATGTTTGTATTTGGAAAAAAAATATTTTGTATTTGGCCCGATATATTTTAGAAATATTTGAAGAATTTTAGAAATGTTTTATGAATGTGATGTTTGTATTTGCAAAAAAAGTAAATTGTATTTGGCCCGATACGTTTTAGAAATGTTTGAAAATTTTAAAAATATTTTATAAGTGTTACTTCTTAAATATAAATAAACTTGATCAAATATATGTCTTGAAGTAAATGCTAGACAAAATATAAAAGTATCCTAATAAGTTTAAATATTAGTAAGATAATTTATTGATTTTCTCCGTGGGTTGTACCTAATCAATACTTAGTTTTAGAGATTTATAATAGCTTTGTAGTTAGCTTCTTCCAAAGGGTATACGCTTAATTGTTGAAACTATTTCTTCCAAAAGTTTATAGGTAGTAAAATATCAAAAATATGATTTTGAAACTGGTTAATTGTTGAAACTGGTTGATCACAAATATGAGAATGAAAATAATATAAATTTGCATAGGTTTCAAGATATACCAAAAAAGAACTCACCTCACGATGGCAAATAAAAAAAAAGTAAAAGATAGCCCATTAAAATTTGAGAATTTTCAATTTTTTCTGTAGGTAAAAATGATGTATAAACACATAAATAAACGTAGAAACATCATTCTTTCCCTCTCCACCTCAAATTCATAAAAGGATTCCCCATAAATTAGTTAAAAGAAGCGACCTGAACTATTTATATGATGAGGAACTAAAAAAAGTCTAAAAACCAAATCCAAAAAAGCATATTCTTGAAACCCCGCTTCATTTGCAAATAAAATAATAATAATAATAATAATAATAATAATAATAATTGGTCAACTGGGAGTATGAAACAAAATCAAAAGAAATTAAACAAAGGAAAAACACACTTCATAATTAGCCATATACGAAAAAAAACCTGAGACTCCATAATTAAAAAAAGAAAACCACTCTAATTGAATGAAACACAAAAAACAAATTTAAAAAACCACACTTTGTAAAAAAAACCCAATCAATCAATTCAATCCAAACATAACTAAAATCATACAAAAATTCTAGGCTAACTAACCAAATAAGAAATCACATCATACTACCTGACAACGGCTACGGCAGCTGTAACGGATGGACGCATAAAAATAATAGTAATAACACTATTATTGAACGGGAAAAATAAAAAATAATAAAAGCCAAACCAATGATCTGTGGAAATAAAATCTTTTAAATTTTAATACCTGCAATGGCACCACCACAACAGCCGAAGCAAGATCAATGAGAATTTTTTTTTCCTTTGTGTTTATATAGAGAGGTAAAGAGAATATTTTTTGAAGTTAAAACTTTATCCGATTAAGATGTAGTTGATCATCACTAATGAAAAGATTGAATATGCTAATAGGAAAGGAGTATATTTTACCACATATTCTCAATTGTTGATTGATGAGGAATTTGTTTTTTTTTTAATTGTGGAGAAGGGATTGATTAAGGAGTCGATTGTCGTGGAGATGGGGATGAGGATTTGGGTTTTTTATGAACCCGTAGTTTTTTTTGTTTGTTTTGACGAAAATAAGAGGTGGAAGTGAATTTAGACTATATTTACCTTTTAAATTTAGGAGATGTGGTAATAAAAATTTATTTTAAAAATATGATGTGGAAATGACACATGACAAATGATGGTGCTTTCTCTTAAGTGTAATTTTTGTTTCTAATATAGTAAGATATATATAATAAGAATGGATATAAGCAAAAACGACAGCAGCAACAACAGCGAGGATGTAGAATCAGTCACAATCGATCGAGCCATCACGGTCCATGCTTTTAATGCTAAACCAATATTATCTACGCTTAAATAAAATCTTCTAGTTTTTTCCTACTGAACATGAATAGTGTGACGAGTCTCTTTAAATAATGCATTCACAGAATTAGTCATATTTTTATACAGCTTTTTTTTTTTTTGGTCCGTAATACGAAACACATGAACAAAATTTCATTTTTGTTTTTTCGTACGTAATATATTATATATTCGAGTACGTCTTAGCAGTGTCGGAGCCAGGATTTTGGGTTAGAGGTGCAAAATGAAAATTTTTACGGCAACAGTACTAAATAATAAAAATAAATATTTAGTGCTAATAAATATATATACTAAACTACATTTTTTTCCCTCGTTCAAAATCTAATAAAAATTATTTATCACCACTTCAAAAATATTTTACACATTTGCAACTAGAAGTCACAAGATTATGACCTATGGGGTTTAAATTTGATTTTTAAGATGTATTTAATATTGGGCAGTTTTACAAAAACAATTCATACATAAATAAGGGGGAAAAAAATACTTCCACTGTATTATTACAAGATAAGACCACTAAAAAACTTTATTAGTATAATTTACTTGAATTGATCATTCTTTTTCTTTGAGCAAACAAAATTTTAACAGTGGATACATTTGGCCATTTTAAATTTCATGTTAAAGTTTTAGCCTATTATAAATTAATCTTGGGAATTTTGAGTCTTAATTTAAATCTCAAATGTTTGGTGTTTACATCATCATCACCTAGGAAAAATAGGACTATTACCAGTTCTTAAATGCAATGATTTGCTATTTCATATTTTTTACCTAAGATTTACAAATATTGATAAAAATACATTGTTATAAAGGTTTGTTCAGAAATTCAATAATTAGAAGAAGTTTAACTATTATTATAACTTTTTTAGAGGGGGGTGCGGAAACAAAGACATTATATTGTTTACCTAATAATTACATAATACATATTAAAAAAGTTAAAATCGGAGTGTCTCCGCCACTACGTCTTGGTTCACTTCTATATTATTAACCTTATAATTATTAAACCCCGTTCAAGAGCATTTTCTTTTTCAATAGCGAGTTAAAAGACCCATTTTTGAAATGACGATCCAAACAGAATCATT